AAAGTTAAGAGAGGGCACCCTCATAGGCCCCTGCGGCTGATTTGGGTACGCAGCGCTCCAAACGGTCCTTGGGAACCTTCGCAGTCTCAGAAATGAGAGACCACAGAAAAGGATGTCTCGAAGGCTATTTTCTAGCCTCCGAGACCACTTCTATGTGCGGTGCTCGTCTCGGAGGCCATATATATATATATATATATATATATTGATTGATTGATTGATATGTGGGGTTTAACGCCCCAAAACCACCATATGATTATGAGAGACGCCGTAGTGGAGGACTCCGGAAATTTTGACCACCTGGAGTTCTTTAACGTGCACCCAAATCTGAGCACACGGGCCTATATAATATTATATATATATATATATATATATATATATATATATATATATAATATATATATATATATATATATATATATATATATATATATATATATATATAATATATATATATATATAATATATATATATATATATATATATATATATATATATATATATATATATATATATATATATAATATATATATATATATATATATATATATATATATAATATATATATATATATATATATATATATTCCTACTCACGGCATGGTTATATGGTTATTCTTTCATCCACTTTTACTTCTTCTTATATACATTCCATTGGTTCTAATAACTTCCCCTGTACATTCCTTGGCATTACTGTCTGTTAGATCTCATTAATATTGTGTCAAAACACGGAAAAACGAGCCCTTAGGTATACACTTCTTTCACTTATTTCATTTAACGAGGGTCTCGTACTGGCAGACTTGGTGTCATTAGGTTGTATACGAGGGACTATTAATCAGCCGCCCGCTCGTAATAAGTTCATGTGCTACGTGACGCCAAACATGCGCATAAAAGAGTGGTTCACACTCGTCGCTTGGCTTATAGAGGCGCTGACTGTCACTCCTACTTCTAAATTCACATATAAACCCAAAAAAGTGGATGGAGGGAAGGCCGCTGTGGTAGCTCAGTGGTTAGAGCATCAAACGCGTTATTCTAAGGTCGTAGGTTCGGTTCCTGCTCACGGCTGGTTATTCTTTCATCCACTTTTCTTTCTTCTCATTTACATTCCATTGGTTTTAATAACTGTACATTCTTTGGCATTACTGTCTGTTAGATCTCATTAATATTGTGTCGAAACACGGGAAAACGAAAACGAGCCCTTATGTATACACTTCTTTCCCTTATATATATATATATATATATATATATATATATATATATATATATATATATATATATAAACGTCGTTTGCGTGCATCGATTAACTTCGTGTAAGCTGCACCGCCAGAGCGGCAAGCACACGGTGCCACTGTGTGTGTCCCAGTCGGATTACCACTGCTGCTGACAGCACTGCATCACGTCTCACTATTACCATTCTACCGGCAACCAATCCAGAAAGCTATTCTCCTGCCACGACACAACCAATCTCAAACGGCAGCGTGACAACTTTGTGATGCAAGTCCATCGTGTACCACCCGTTGCAGAAGTTCGTTCTACTGTATGATATTGACCATAAGTTCTCGGGAAACTTGCTGCTCTGCTTTGCCAGTCGTATGCTGCTGAGGCGCTATAGGAGGTTCATCTGCATCGGGTTGGTCTATGTACTCTCCCTCGTACACGGCTACGCTCGCACTTGTGCTTTAGGAAGGGTACGTTGTTGCTGGTTCGTTATGTAAAGCTGTGCGCCTGCATGTGTTTGTACGCATGCGCGAGTCTGCGCACTCGTCCGATGCTGCGTGTATGTTGAGCTTGCACGCATTCTGCGACCATTTCTTCGGGTAGTCTGCTGCGGCTTCGCCGCGGTGGTCTAGTGGCTAAGGTACTCGGCTGCTGACCCGCAGGTCACGGGCTCAAATCCCGGCTGCGGCGGCTGCATTTCCGATGGAGGCGGAAATGTTGTAGGCCCGTGTATTCAGATTTGGGTGCACGTTAAAGAACCACAGGTGGTCGAAATTTCCGGAGCCCTCCACTACGGCGTCTCTCATAATCATGTAGTGGTTTTGGGACGTTAAACCCCACATATCAATCAATCAAATCGGGTAGTCTGCTTTATGTTTTGTGAGGTGCGTTTCCAAAGGTCTCGTGTAATCAGTCAAGTCCTTCAGGAAGCTTTTTCAACCGTTCACAACTGATAGTCGCGTACTTTTTTTTCCCCATAAACCCTTCCAACGTTTTGCGCTGTGCATGTTTCTCAGTCTTTCATGTGCTTCATCAAGGTCAAGCGTACAAAGCAGCGTTAACGTACAAAAAAAGTACATTGTGTAATTTAGGCATTAAAACTAGAGAAGCTCTTTGTGAAGGTACAATATATACCGGCATATTCTTTGAATGCACCGGTATACATATGACTGGATCCCATGCTGCTATTCTCATCTTCTTGTGTCCAGTGTTTTTTTTTTTTTCACCATTCTTAACTATGAGCCCAAACCAACTCGCCCAACTGCCAGTGATATTCTTTCAAATTCGGTGCTGGTTTCTACAGTTCGTTTTTGTGAATGCTATTTACAAAAGGCAGCTTACTGCCCGAGGCTGGGCCGATTGCCGCTATATATATTTACTGCATTTTGTGTGCTCCTTTTTTTTGTGTAAACTTCTTTATTGAACATTTCTAGCTCACGTATACTTGTTTTACGATAACTCTGGTTGTATTTAAATGAAACAATAATTTTCTATTATACACTGACTTAATTGCCCTTCGTGAAAGAAACTAATGCCTTCCTGTATTCCCACATACGCCGCTATGTTTTATTCCTCATAATAAATTAGTTGCTTGCATTGCCTACTTGTAAAAGAACAATTTAGGTACCATTTATCTCATTTTCGTGGTACATCTTTCATGTTTACGCACTTCCTTTAACTACACGTGGTGTTCCATATCTTGCGCATGAAGGCCCCTTGGAAGAATTAGCATTGATCTGGAAAATACCTTGATTCAGCTGAACCCTTAGGTGAGAAGCAGAGCAAGTGATGGCATACTGTAGGCTTGTGCATACTCTCCTCCTCACTCCCCCCCCCCCCCGCCATTACCACCACAATTTTTTTTTTGCCATAGCTTATACAGACTCCAAAATTATACTCAAACACATCTGTTAGCCCAGCCCACACATAAAATGAAAGAGGGGCTCCCCCTTCCTTCACTGGAAAAAAATTCTGTCTACGCTCTGCGAATTTAACACAAACGCAACAGAATCGAAAGTTGGGTTAGTTGAATATGCATGGTATAAATGTCGTTTAAGCGCACGAAGGAACACAAAGCAACAGGGGAAAAGCGCCTGTGCCCTGTTTCTTTGTGTTCCTTCGTGCGCTTAAACGACAATTATAATATTATAGGTACACAAACGACAAGGGCGATCTTGGTGACACTTTCACCCTAAATACGTTAGCGATAATGCTTCAACTACATGCTATGGATAATGCGGTTACGTACCTGCCAAGTCCACGGCTGCCTCCGTACGCGCAATTCAACACCACGAAATGCGTGCAGCCTATAAACAGACCCGACAAGCTTCCCGGGTGCTGTTTTTCGGCAATTCGAAAAGATGGGAAATCTCTCCAAGCACACCACAACCAGAACCCGATACACCCGGTGTTATATTGCAGCCGCACACAATCGGGAAAAGCAAAGTCGAAGTCGTTCTTTCGTTCGCGGCCGCTTTAATGAACCCCGAAAAGAAACATATGCTCCGTGACCAAGTGACAGCTTTTGTTCACGCGAGTATAACTAACCCTTTTGACGCGTCGAAGGTTTCTGCAGTTATATAAGCAATGGAAACCGCGAAGAATTATCCGCATATGACAATTCTATCCACAACGTGCTTTGAGATAAACGTGATGTGCCTCCCCGCAAGGCTTATTCCATAAAATGTGGTGCGGCACGCTTGACAGAGCTAAATAATTTATGCTAGGTAAGCCACTCCAAAACAACACCGATGAAACGACGCTGAAGGCGTGTTCTTGATCGCGTTTTACAGCTGCATGCGGCAAATTTTTTGCGACGGTCTTCATAAAGAGAAAATGAGAAAAAAAAAGGCTCAATCAATCTTTCTTGCACCTTCCCGCGTAACTCCCCGTGACAGCTCGTCAGTACAGCTTTTCCTCTTTGCACGACGACAAACAGCGCATGCGCGAGCCGCAATACAACGGCAACTAGGCGCAGCGGCTTCCGCCTATACCGCGCGAAACCAAACGTCTGCACGAAAGCGCCACTGCATTTTCGTATTCGGTGGAATTCGTCTGTACACATTAAAAATCTCTTATCATTTTGTCACAGCATTGATTCGATATTATCCAAATCAACCGTGGTTTAGATGTAGTGATATTCAGCGTTTATTTGTTTGCGCAAGCGTAAAGGTAAACGTTTACGTACGTACGTAAACCTTTGCGGATGGGGAGCTAAAGCTTTTCCAGAACACGCGTTCCGGTAACACGGTAATGTTAAAAAGTATCATAATCATCATCATCATCAGCCTGACTACGTCCACTGCAGGACAAAGGCCTCTCCTATGTTCCACCAGTTAACCCGGTCCTGTGCTTGCTGCTGCCAATTTATACCCGCAAACTTCTTAATCTCATCTGCCCACCTAACCTTCTGTCTCCCCCTAACCCACTTGCCTTCTCTGGGAATCCAGTTTGTTACCCTTAACGACCAGCGGTTATCCTGTCTACGCGCTAAATGCCCGGCCCATGTCCACTTCCTCTTCTTGATTTCAGCTATGATATCCTTAACCCCCGTTTGTTCCCTAATCCACTCTGCTCTCTTCTTGTCTCTTAAGGTTACACCTACCTCCCACATGCATACTTCAAATAACGTTAAAAAGTATGCGTGCAAGCTAAAAGTTCCTATTGTTGCATGCAAACGTTCTTGAACATGCCTTGCCAGAAAAAAAGCAAACCTCGGCTGAGGCATAGATTCGGTGGCCTTGGCCAATGACGCTATGTTACTGTGTGTTGAAAATTTATACTCGCCGTAAAATATTCCCACTAGTATGACGATGACCACAATGTTCTCTGCGAAGAAGCAGCAGCTGATTGCGATGCCTGTGACGATGACTCCCGTCGTCACGATTGCTCTCATGGACAACGTACGGCTCAGGGCGCCAGCAATGGGTCCTGTGGAGAAAGAAGCAAACGAGACGTGCGGAATCAAAGAGAAGGTTGGGTAGCATACTCTGCTGATATTAGTTTCATCAAATCGGTACGGCCCAATGGCCTAACAGAATTGCAGATTTCTCAAAGATGGTCCCGCCGTTGGCTTATTGGTTCCCCGATAAAAAAAAACAAAAAATAAAAACCACCAGGCCTGCGCGGAAGGCGCAGCACAGTCACAGCGAAAGCTATAGAAGAGCGGCCTTTCAGAGCCTTTTCAAAACACTTATTGGATAACTACTGCAAGCTCACTTGCTTGATACCCACTAGGGCATTTTAAATAAATATTTTGGGCAGTAGGCCGGCATTCGCTATGCTATTTTTCGTCATTCTTCTGAGAAGCGTGGTATCTGCTACTTGAAATGAATTTTGTGCCAATTGTTCATGCAGTGGCTGACGACGATGAGGAATAATGGCTGAAGTGGGTATGTGCCACAGTTAATAGAATAACAAGAACAAGCTTTTGTAGTGGGTTGTATCATTGGACGGCCCACTCGTTACACTATTCGCATTGTGCGACGACTGGTTGTGCTTTCGCTGTTCTAAAACGCTTTATAAGTCGTATTAACGTGACTTATTTCCCGACATCAAGCCGGCCTATGTAAGACAAGTTTGCCAACAAGTCACAGGCACCGTCGTAGCTCAGTGGTCGAATACTAAGCTGGCACCCAGCGGACCCGGTTTTGAGCCCCGCTGTGTAATTGATGCTACCTTTTTTTTTTCTAATTTCGCGCGATGTGATTACGGACACCAGTGGTGGTAGTGGCGGCGGCGGACAACTGCGCGTGACCCGAGTTGTGATTTCATAACAGCTTTCGCTGTAAAAAAAAAAAGTGTTGAAGCATGCAGGTTCAAACTTGATATTTTTTGACGCAAGGAACTTAAACGATAGTTGAAGCGGAATGTCTTATTAAGAGAGCAATTTCGTAAGCTCTTAGCTGCACGTTCATTATTGTCGAAAGTGAAATCGTATAAAATGTTAAAGAAACGCACATTCAGAAAAAAAAAACGATAGCCTTCTTCGTAAGCGCATTTCTCAGCTCGCATTTTTTTTTGAAAGCTGATAAAGCAATTACGCACCGTCGGCAAGCTATAAATTCTCTCTAACTCATAGTACCGCCTCGTTCTGGATTTGACACAAAAGGGAAACTGGGATATTTTAACGAAATATTAAAATTCTGCGCACGTACCGGAATCTGTGTGAGACGATGCGTCAGTAAAGTGATTGATTGAAAGTTCTACAGCTGACGGCGATACAACTGCACGTTCACTTGCCCCGCGAGTGACGTGTAATCTCACGTGACGCCTTTGTTTCTCTATCATGAATGACATCAGCGCTAATATGCGATTGTAGCGTTTATGTTGTGCACTAGTTGCGGGCAAGCTATACAACCGAATGCGACTACAAATCGGGCAAAAAAAAATGGCAACACGTGAGGCAAACGATGACGTGATGACGAAACGATGCTTGTAAAAATACAGGAATACCACGCAAGGGCGGGGCGGGCTTGTCGGTACTGAACCATTCCTAAATAACAGAAGCGCTACGAAGGCGGACAAAAAAAAAAGGGAAACAAGCACGCGGCACTAAAAGCTTTTGTTTGAAAAGAAAATATATATCTAAACTCGGACCCAACACCCGTACATGCGTTCCGTGGACGAAGCAAAAAACAAATACTAGAACAAAACAAAATTACCCATCCACCCATCAAATACACCTCTTCTCCTCGAGTAGTTTTACTTCTTCGACCGATAGGGCCAAAGAGGGATATGGCTTATGCACAGGGACGCCTTATAGTGTAAATGTGATGCGCTTCCGCCAGTTCTCGTGTGGTGCGATAGCAGTCTTCGTACAGAATCTCCGTCGCAGCGGCAATCAGCACAGTGCATGGCCAAGTGCGCTGGTGGTCTTCGCTGCAAGAGGCGTATGTTCACACATCGCCCTGTCTGTCCAACGTGTCCATTCGACAGAGGAATGCGATACACAACCTTTGTCCTAGAAGGCTCGAACATTACTATGTGGTTAATGGTGCAACCACGTGTCACGACGTTGTCAAGCATCTTGCTGACCGTTGAACATAGCGTATACTTGACCTGCTACTAGTGGAAATGACCATTTTGAGCCCAAATCGCTGAGCTGTCTTCTTCAGCCGATGTGACAGTGCGGGTATATATGACATAACTGCTACTTTGGGGTTTTTATCCAGATTATTTATCTAGATCCAGTCTTCCTTTCGTGTTCTTGCTTTCGTGCCTTATTCTCTCTCTTTTGCTTTCGTGGCTCTTATATTATTTAATAATTGTAAAAGTATCGCATGACACATTTTCATGCAGAGAGAAGTGCAATTATCACAAAGACCCAATCTTGACAGCCATCTTGAAGGATTGGTCGAAAAAGGGTCGAGTAACTCATACCGAACTGCTAAATCAGTGAAATTTCATTAATCGTATAATTGTTAAATATAGCCTAACTTGCTATTCTATTCAAATGTAAGTGAGCTTTCATCCAAAATAAGTCTGTTCTAGTAACATAACCATTTATAATGCTCTATTCAAATGAGATATTGTCAGTAGTAGAAAGCCACGTCGCCTCTGTGCTATGCGACAAGTGGAGTATATCAGTACCATTCGAGGTCAACAACATCAAACGAATACGTGTGTGATGGTTAAGGTTTCCCTTAAGAGTGAAACGAAATGGCTGCCGTTGACAGGAGCTCGCGAGCGACGATCAAGTGCGCACCTACTCTGTCGACCATTAATGAAGTCGCATGGTGCGCGCACAAATATATTGGGGCGTTCCTCTGGCTGACAAGGTCGCGTGTCAAGCTACTGCGTTCTCGTTGCCTCCACTTTCTTTCTTCAAGGTCCCCAGCACGGCACGCCGCTCTGACAGCACGTGAATCCTCACTCCGTCATTCCCGACAGACGTGCGCAACGAACCGCAAATGAATTTTTCTTTCGTTTCTTGTTTGCGTTTCGAGGCACACAAAAGGGGTGCGCACACTATAGCCATGCGGGGGTGGGTCGAACGCTTGGCGACAGATGAGTTGCTGAACGCGGAAGCGCTCGGCTATACCGGGAAAGCCACTGGTCAGACAGCCGGCTTGGGCAATAATTTCCTGCGACGATATTCCCGACGCGGTGTCTGGGTGCATTTGCATACGCGTGCAAATGCTCCGCTCAATTAGAGTGATTAGCCGCGCTCGACTGACCAAGCAGCGCCGCGAAGCGTCCAGGAGACCATTGGAGAATCGCCGCGTGTTGCAAGCGCGTGCCCTAATAACCGCTTATCGAAGTATAGAGTAGAGAAATTTCGCACGTCAACATAATTGTCGAAAATAAATGAATGAAGAAACTTTCGGCGATACTAGCCGGCATTCGTTGCATAACGCAAGCATGTTGGCGCTATTTTTATTCAGCTGAAACTGTTCCATAATGATGCTTATAAAAGTTTGCCCCGCCGCGGTGGTCTAGTGGCTAAGGTACTCGGCTGCTGACTCGCAGGGCGTGGGTTCGAATCCCGGCTGCGGTGGCTGCATTTCCGATGGAGGCGGAAATGTTGTAGGCCCGTGTGCTCAGATTTGGGCGCACGTTAAAGAACCCCAGGTGGTCGAAATTTCCGGAGTCCTCCACTACGGCGTCTCTCATAATCATATAGTGGTTTTGGGACGTTAAACCCCACATATCAACCAATGCTTATAAAAGTCTGGCACTTTCTGGCTGAATAAACACAGATGCATCTTATCACCACTTCTATCACAGACTGAGTGCCGTTACTTATCGACACTCATGTATCTGTAAGCGTCATTTTAGAAAACGTTTCGTATAGTCTGGATTCGTTTAACGCTGAGCCAAGCTGAGTAGCTTTCCTTTCTTTTTTGTGTTAAAACAAATTTATGCTGGCTCTTCTTACTAGTGCCACGCAAAAAACTCAAAGAAACAAGCAGGCAACAAATCGTAAGTAAAAATGTATCTCGTTTTTGTTTGTTTTGTCTTCTTTTTGCCTCGTTGCAACATTCCATTTCGCTCATTTGCCCAGTACTTGGCGGCTCGTTCCAAACTCGTAGTCAGCGGTAAGCGCAGGGCCCGGAAACTCGGCGCTAGTATCGGTTTACAGATCCCGGCTGCGGCGGCTGCATTTCCGATGGAGGCGGAAATGTTGTAGGCCCGTGTGCTCAGATTTGGGCGCACGTTAAAGAACCCCAGGTGGTCGAAATTTCCGGAGTCCTCCACTACGGCGTCTCTCATAATCATATGGTGGTTTCGGGACGTTAAATCCCACAAATCAAATCAATCAGTATCGGTTTACAGGAACATGCGCGCTCGTAGCGGTTGCCGGGCGTCTTATAAGATCTGGTGGAACGGAGGGAGGTTGATGTGAATGTTTGTATTTATTGGCTTTCACAAGTTTTTACAAAATGAATCATTACCCCTGCAAACAGCTTCTCATTTGTTTTATATGTCCTTTCTTATTCCTTATTTTGTGAATTTTAAATCAGGTGAAGCGCAGGAAGTGATTTACTTGAGTTCGAAGCACTTCACACCGCTCTTTCTCGCTCCTCGCTCAGCGATATCAGAAGTTTGATGGCGCTCTGTTATCTCACTCGGTTGGCTTGTAAACTACGGGAAAGATAAAGAAAGTAAGTTGTGGCGGGCAGAAAACGGAAGCCGCAGTGAGCTACACCAAACAAGTCAACCATACATTCGTCGAAGATGGTTAAATCGGGCAACACACGTTTCCCGCTGCTCTGCGGTGTGCTAACTCGGGCATTTCTAAGTCCGCGAAGGTTTTTCGGCGTTTCCTAAAGGCAATGGGTAAGCACAAAAATTTGTACCAATTATTTGAGCAGGTATTGATTTTGCAAGAGTATACATATGATTAAACCCAGTTCTCTGCAAGCCTGACTGGACTGACAGAATTGCAGTGTCGCTTGACTGATTGGTGAAGACGGCAGCCAAACACC